TAGAAAATGTACATGGACAAAGTGTTATCCTCTTTACAGATGACACATTTGTTTTTGTTTTTCTTCTTACATTAAAATCAACAGATAAACAAACATATGTGCATTGCATTTTGTTCTAAATGCAAAATGGAAGTTTCCAAATATATTTTCAAAAAGTAATTAAAATAAAATATGTACTTATACCCTTCAAGTTTTACCAATAACAGATAAAATGAATGAAAACAAGTGGTTTTGAAGATGTTTTTTAAAAACAAGAAAGAGTCAGTTAGGAGCCACAATTATCATATTATGCTGGTAAAAGATTTTTAATCTAACAATGTGTGAAAACTTTGTGTGCAGCTTCATAAAAAAATGGTCAAATGCTGAGGTGTATACACACTGAGTGCAGTAATTTTAGAATGAATGTGTGATCAGATCAAGTTAAAATGAATAATGCAGTAGACAAAGGAAACTGTTGCAGCTGCTACAGTTACACTGAGACACCACCAGGAGGCAAACTTTACCATTGGAAATTGATGGAGGGAAACACCTAAATGTTCTCTCTTCACATATATCTATATACATGCAGAATACAGAATATGCACATCACAGCTGGAGTCTTTCATTATGTTGTGTTCTTTTTCCTTTTAGCACAGCCATCAGAAGGCTTTTTTGATATATTTGCAATATACCATAGATATTGAATTTGATGTTTAATTGATTCCAATGTGTGATGGAAAAACTGAGAAGAAGATGAACCACTCATATTCAATGAAGAGTTCAGGAGACCCTGATGACTTACACAGCAGAATTTATAGAGGCTCGGCTGAGAAGAACATGGATCAACCATACACAGTGCAATTGCCAACCCAATTCTGAAGATTATCTCCCTTTGGAGGATATTTAAAAGAAACCTAGACCCACATCTACTAGTGTCCCAATTATGGTCATGACAAATGCAGCTACATATGTGTGAAGATCCAATTGGATAATGGTTTAAACCAAACTCTAACTCTACCTACACTATCCTAAGTCACGTTGAATGGCACACACAACACATAAAGGAGACAGTCAGCGTTTGTATTACAGTGTTCTTAACCATGGTCTTAACTACAACATGTTGGGTACTCAACCTTATCAGCTGCTCTGCATAGTCTAGCCAGCAAAACAGTCGGAGAGGAGGACAAATTAAGAAAGGCTGTGACCTGTGACCTCCTTTGGGTTTGTTGACAACTTCACAGTGGCAAAGAGAGCACCATGCCATTTCAGTCTAATGTAAAGAAGGAAACTTCCTTCACTTTTGTTCTTTTCAACATTGGGATAAAGTTTGTGTTAGAAAGTTTAAGTGTGTTGGCAGCACTCAGTGTTCTTTCTGTCTGTTTGATTTACACATCAGATGTTCCCTTCATCCTGAAATCCTGTAATCTGAGTGATCTGGAACAGGAGACACCTCTACCTTAGTGTTTGTTGCATTTTTTGCATCTATGTTTTGTTTTCTGTGATACTTCAGACTATTTATGTAGGGACAGTAATTATGTATTGTATTTATTGTCGTTCACTGTTTATTATTTTATATTATTTTATTTCTTACATGTTTCTTTGAGTGCCCATATTTCATTTTTTCAAAATATTAGCTCACAATAGTGAGTTGGAAGGATATTTGGGGATTTGAGGATTGCTATTTGGTGCTATGCAATAATTTAAAAAATCAGTAACGTTAAATACCAAAAGAAGCAGCATTTATGAAGCAGTTAATGATTAAGGAGCAGAATGACTACAGTTATTCGGAATCACAGTTGAAAAAATACACTTGTGTTCATTCAACTTTATTGATCTTCTGGCAACAAATTATAAAAATACATTGTTTGTTTATTTTGTGTTACATGTCAAAATTACATGGTCATGTTCATAAATATTTAATGAAATATTATACTTTTCATGTGTTTGTTAGTTTGGTACTACCTAAAGTTGATCTAATCAATATGTTTTTACATAAACCATGGATCAGATGTATGTGTGTATTGGTTAACTAACAGAGAATTAACTAAGTTCCTCTCAGCTCTATGGAGCTTTTTAGTCTATTTTGGATCATTGTTTTGGTTTTCCTGCCAACAAACTCTGCTCTTTAGTACTTCCAAACACAGCAATCAGCAAAAAACTCTGATAAACCCACATTACCATACCTGTCCATCAGCAAATAGCAGTTTAGCACCAACAATGTTAGCCACTACCTGGAGAACATAGTGGCACATTTAGCAGCTACAGAGCCAAACTTCCTTCAGGAGTTGGTGGAGACCAAAAACAGAGCTAAAATTGGAATGGATGTTGAAACTCCAAATAAACGCTATTGTTCCTCAGTGTCTGATGGATGTGTAAAAAGGCAACCGTTTGCAACAACTTTTAAAGGTGATAATGTGTCAATACTGTCTTTACAGCTAAATCCACTACATTTGCAAAATTAAAAGAACTATAAGGAATTCTTTGTAAAAGTCTCCAGAAACATAAGTAAAGTGTAAATGTTTTAAAATGAAAGAAAAAGGAAGTAAACCATTCAACTTCCCATGAGTCTAGCAAACGTGATTGATGCTTCAAGTCTAATACATTGAGATTATTCCTCTGCCACATCCTGTTGCGTTTTTGTTTGTTTGATTTGCGATGAAAGAGTTTCCTTTGATCACCACCTGATTTGTTGGATCAAACGTTGGCATGATCAAAAGAGTTTGTGTGAAATGGGAAGCACTTTGCAGTTTTGGGATTGTCTTTCATCTTAATTCACTAAGTTTGGTTTAAATTACCTTCCGACTTCACGTCTTTCATCTTGTCACGGTTGTTTCGGCTGACAGTTTTAACAGGTGTGTGAGGCAGCTTGTAGATGATGACTGTTATTGATGATCATCATGATCACAAACATGATACAAAGATGGTGTTGATGATAATTAGATTATGCTGAGGGTGTCTGTTGTGGTAACAGTAGTGATGATGATTTGGGATGTTGATAACAGTAGTGGGTGGAGGAAAAGTTGATGAATGTGCAAAATGATTTGATTTGTTTTTATAATACACATGTTGCTTCTAAAATAGAGTAAAACAAATAAATAAAAATGTAACAATTAGATGTTAAATGATGAACTAAACCTCAAAATAGCGATTTCATTTATTTTCTTGACCAAAATGCTGAGATATAAGCCCGCTGTGTATATCTTTTAAGTTTTCTTACACCTCTTAAAATCAAGAAGGCCTTGTGGAAGTTTTGACCCCCAGGTTAGTAACCACTGACCAGTGTATAGGATTCAGTGGCATCTAGTGGCGAAGCAGTAAATTGCACCTAACTGAACACCGCTGGCATCTGTATGGACGCAGAACTGACAAAAACAAGGAAAGCCCTATCTAAAGCCAGTGTTTGGTTTGTCCATTCTGGGAGAAATGCATTACTTCCATTACTATAGAAACATGGCGACATCTACAGAGGGCGCCCTCAGCGTCTGCATATAAAAACAGCTCATTCTAAGGTAATAAAAACATAACAATTCCTATGTTTAGGTGATTATGCACTGATGAAAACATACCTATGAATATTATATTCCATTTCTGCCAGTAGATCCTCCTAAATGTTGCACACTGGACCTTTAGTGTAGTATTTTTACCAGTAAAAGCTTTTGACAGTTCACTGGATCCTGTCTTACATTTTAAGACATTTTTAGATTAATGGCTGCAGGATTTTATCTCACATTAGCTGACAAGAGATCAAGTAGAATAGTGGAGGAATTCAGTCAAACTCAACAAACACTCATGGAATTGGAAAATAAAATGAAAGAAGAAAAGAAAAGAAAAGAAAAGATATAAAAAGCTGGATACATCAATCTTAAGGTTCTCCATATACCTAAAAAATAAGGCATCTCATACGAAACTGTGAGTGGAATCTGTTGAATAAACAACTCATCTCAAAAATATGGAGCAAATGAAATATTTGTATGGAAAATGTAGTTGGCAAATCAATAAATTGCAATATAGAAGAAGTAAAAAGACATATATGGGGTTTAAAGTCATTTATTGCATAATCCTTCAATTCAGCTAAGTAGCAAAGCCCTTTCTGAAGACTCCGTAGACTTTGAGTGCTATTTGTATCTGTTTCCACTGCAGACAGTCATGTAACTTTGCAGAGAGGTGCCAGTTCTGCTGAGGGTAATTGGATCACCCATGGAGTTTCCTGAGACCTGCACTGCAGTAGATGGGTGGAGATTTAAAACTGTGGCCTACAACGTTGCAATAGATCAAAGCCGTGAAGTATTAAAGGTCATAACCTGAGGACTGGATAACAACTGAATGTATGTCAGGCAAAGTAAGTGCAGGTGATGTTTCTTATTTTGAAAAGTACTAACGTCACTGGCATCAGGCCTACTATTCATAACTCACATTTTAAGTTTAGTTTGCCCAGTCCTGGCACAAACACCTTGTACAGATTCCTTTCCAACATCTCTTCAGGGTACATTCTTGTATGAACCTTTGGGGGAAGAATGTTGTTTCAAATATTGAAACCAGTTTTAAAAAATGCACTTTAGTGGGCTAACCCTTTGCTTATGATGCTTCTGCTTGATTTTAATGTGTGAAAATATGTGTAATGTCAGCAGGACGACTCTGACTTTTGAACATAACAGATCATTCTTAAAAGAGACTAAAAACTGACCTGGTAATCCACTACACAGATGCATATTAACCATCCATCTAAAAGAATGGATGATAAGGTGGTGTAATGTTGGTCAGGGGTTGGTCCTATTTTTATACAGATTTAAATATCACTGATTTTCCAAACTGAACTACTGGAAAAGAAGAGCAGTAACCCATAGAACGCCTCTTACCTGAAGCCTATATGGGCTATCAATGGCAACCTAGGACTAAAAACAACACACTCAGTGATTGGATCATTGATTGACGTTCTCATTGGCTGAGCTCGGCTGCCAGTCAGAGGCTGCACTCGCTGGTTCGTTATATCCACGACTTAACGCAGGGCGACTAATCTTCGCTCAGGCTACAGCCAAAGGATTGTGTCGCAGCGTCTCCCTGCTGAGGCGCTGACAGAGCATCTGTTGGAATACAAGTTCACTCTGACAACCTGCTCCATCTTCGTCCCCGCCACACCGCCCAGGAGCGACCATACGGAGCAACTGAACGTGTAGATGGAGTTTCAATCGCTGTCGTGACTGTTTCTCCACCGCCTCTCACCCCTGCAGAAGACTGCGTTCAAGTTGCAGCAGCATCCACACCACCGCGGCTCTCTCCTCTCGCAGTCATGGGAACCGTCCTCTCTATATCCCCGGCGACGAAGAAGGGATCTATTATGGACTCCGAGGTCGCGGGAGGCAAAAACGACAAGAGCCTCAAGCGGCACTCGATGTTTGTCTCTCTCTCCTGGAAGAAGCTGGTGACCAGTTCAGCCAAGAAGAGTGCCAAGAAAGTGACCCCGAATCCGCTGCCTGCCCCGTCCAGCCAGGTGGCTCAGCTCAACATCGAAAACGCCAGGAAGACGCACCAAACCGAAGAGAAGAAACCAAAAGTGCCCATCCCGGTGCCGGTGCCCACGGTCCCCAAACAAAACGGCGATGCTGCCGTCCAAAACGGGAGGCTGTCCACGGTCCAGAAGCAACCCAGCAGCCTGTCTCTGGTGTCACCGAGGCGGATAGTCATCCAGGCTTCAACCGGGGAGCTGCTTCGCTGTTTGGGGGACTTCATGTGCCGCAGGTGTTTTAAACTGAAAGAGTTAAACAGCGGGGAGGTGATCCTCTGGTTCCGAAACATTGACCGGACTCTTTTGATCCAGGGCTGGCAGGACCAGGGCTTCATCACGCCGGCCAACGTGGTGTTCGTGTACCTGCTGTGCGAAGACACGATAGCGGACAGCGTCGACAGCCCGGCCGAGCTGCAGGGCACCTTCCAGACATGCCTTTACCTCGCCTACTCCTACATGGGCAACGAGATCTCCTACCCACTCAAGCCGTTCATGATCGACTCGAACAAGGACGTTTTCTGGGATACGTCGCTCCGGATCATCGACAGGATGAGTGCCAAAATGCTGCAGCTGAACGCAGACCCGCACTTTTTCACCGAGGTCTTCCAGGACCTCAAAAACCAACGAGACAGCAGCGAAGCGAACCTGGACCGCTGAAACAAACAAGACACTGGTGTTTTTTGTTTTTTTAATTTAAAGGATTAAATGTTTTATGCAAAATCACATAAAACGGTGGTTTTGAATGTAAAGGCCAGCGTTGAAGGCACCTCACGTCTGGGCTGAATATCTCTCTAATGGTGTTACACAACCGGTGTTTAGGCTACAGTGTAGGAGATTTCATACATGCATGCCAATGGTGTATTGTCCTCTTTTGTCTTGCCCCTTGAATGACCCGGGGATTTGACTTCGTGGTGCAAATCACAATCCCCACAAGTCCCCGTTTCGTTCACGGTGAGCCTACTTGCCGGGGAAGTGGGTGGATGTCGCAGTGAGGTGAGGTGAGGCAGGACCAGAATAGATCCGTGTTTTTGTGGAGGAGTGGGGAGGCGGAGCTGTCCGAGGTGCTGACCTGTTCGGCCATTTCTTCTCCGCTCCCTGCTATTTTTGAGTCACTTTGCCACAACAGAGCCAAGCGTGGCTTAAGAGGACCAGAGTCAGCCCAATACACCTTCAGCACATAAGCCTAAGCCTTGTAAGAGGAGGTATAGAGTGGGCTAAATTGTGCTTTTTTAAAATTCCCTCACCTGCTGATAGTTAAGCTGTAAGACATGCAACAGATATCTTTAAGAGGACGTGTTACTTGGTTTAACTGTGGATTTTCCTCTAAGGGTAACAGAGTTGAAAAGCTATAGTTTCCGTCTGCAAATCTTGATTGGGTACTGCAGAAAAGCACCATGCTGTGTATGGCTATCTTCATACCTGGGATATAACTGTTTTCTCATCTACTTTTGTGTGATTAAAAAGCACCAATTTCTTCATATAAACCACCTGACTTTGAATTTTTTAATATCTTCTGTTTGCCTACCGACGTGATGCTGTAGTGGTGTATCTGTAAGTGGGCAGTTGGTTCAAGATGAAGATGAGGGAAAGCGGCATAAATGTAAAGAGGAGGGAGTATCTCCCCCCCCTGGAATGTATATGATAAACTGCACTAAATGGGCCCATAGCTGGCCATATAGCAAGGTTATCAACCCAAGACCTCTGTTGTGTATTGCTTTCCAATACATTGCAGATGCCGACATAGAGACTGAAAGGAATGTACAGTTTTTCAAGAGATTTTTTTTAAATCTCATATGTGCCAACTGAAATATTCTTGGCCTGAAACTATACGGTTTACATGTACATATCCCACGCTCTTTATTTTTATTTTTCTCTGCCTTTTTTTGGAGGCGACTGTATATGATGTCGGTCGAGCACAACAAACAACAAATAGAGCTTAATGGTCAAATCGTATTCTTGCCCTGCTCTGTAAATGTGCTGTGGGCCTCAGTTTGCTGGGTTCAGTTCACTTTCAGTGTAGTCAATTCAGGAAGGATCCTCATAATGTAAATATTGAATGTAAAGGTGTCATTAAGAAGTGACAGAAAATTATAATTTGCACTCTCCATTGCAGTTTCTATAAGCTAAAAGTGATTTGGGCATACCTGTCAGTTGTTATTCAGCATTATGCTCCTTCTAAGTGATCATTGTGCCGTGGTGTTGTGAACTCATTGCTTGGAAAGTGAAATATAATGCTGCTATTTTTGCACAGCTGAGAACAAACCCTTGATGTTTTGCACAGTGGTATAACATGTCATGTACCAGTGTTTCCTGTCAGTTACTGGAGTGTTTGCCATTAAGTTTGCTGTTAATGTCACCAAGTCTCGCTCTAGGATGACCATTTGTGAATTAGATCTTTTGTACAGTTACATTTTCCTATATATCAGCCATGGAAAGTGATATTTAGATGTGTGTGTGTTGTCTGTGGTGTTGCGCCACAGTTGCATTCACTCTCTCTATATGTTATTAAAAGGTCGATGCAGTTATTGTTTATGGTGATCATGATGAAATAAATCCAAACGTATGTAGGATCTCTTATCTCTCTTGAATTGCTTTGTCTTAATGTTTATGTGTGTGGTCACTACCATGTGTAATCGTATGTGTGAGGGTACGTGCTTGTGGTCAAAGTTTTCTACTCAGTTTGCTGAAGAAGTAATTAACTTGGACAGCTTCTTATCTACTCACACCACCCACTAATCCTTTGATTTGCAGGCAACCCTCGGGACATGGTTATGCAATAGAAATAAGTCCATGACAAATATGCTTACTGGGTGATACCATAGGTTGCCATGAGACTGAAGCTCATGAGACTTCATTTGTTGCCATGAAACTAAAATTTATCAAATAGAGTATTCTTTCATGGAAAAGTTTACTGACACAAAGATACAAATTTAGAAGACAATTTTGCTTTATTTCCTTATGGGCGTATAAGGAAATGGTAGATATCTGTAACAATAGCTACATTACATTGTAGAATATTTTGCAGTCAATATACCTGTATTGTTCACTGAACACAGTGAAGTACGCTGACACATATAAAGGATATTTTTGGTATCCTTTCTGTGTGTCCTGGGTATTCTAATCTGGGCCACATACTGAAATGGGAACACAGAAGTGAAACAGTGAGAAAGTAAATTTTACAAAACAAAATGGGAGGAGGAATCTGCAGCTATCAATCTGATAAACTACTCTCACACTCTACATGTTTAATAATGATTAACAGAGACATGTAAAATTTAGGAACAATTTTAAAATATGCCTTTCTTGAGTTGGATTTTACATTAACATGTGACAGATTATGAAGTCTAGGTTAAAACATGGATACATTGATGCTGTATGAGAGAATGGAGCTGAATTGATGAGGGTTTCCTCATGTTTTTTATGAATAAGCCACGTGGGCTGGAGAGTTGCTTCATGTGATTGGTTAGAATCTGCTGCAGTCTCAGAACTGTCTGTGACTCTCTCCCTCTCTCTCTCTCT